TATAGATTCTCCAGAATTATGAACAGTGAGTGTGTGCTCGCTGTGCTCCCTGGAGTTTCATCAGGTTCCAGATCATCAGAGTGTTGGCTCATTACCTGTAATCTTAGCACTTAGGAGGAGGTGAAGGCAGAAGAATCACGAGTTCAAGGTCAGCCTGACCTCCACAGTCAGACTTGATCTCTCAGAAACAAACAAACAAACAAACAAAAAAACCAAAAAAACAAGCCAGGCCTTGGTATTGCATGCCTTTAATCCCAGCACTCTGGGAGGCAGAAGCAGGAAGATCTCTGTGAGTTCGAGGCCAGCCTGGTCTACAGGGCCAGTTCCAGGACAGCCTCCAAAGCTACAAAGAGAAACCCTGTCTCGAAAAAACAAAAACAACAACAACAAAAAAACACAGACTAGGACTAGCCAGATGGTGCAGCACTTGCCACACAAGCCTGACAACCAGAGTTTGATCCCTGGAAACTATGGGGGGAGATAGCAACTGCTGGAAATTTTTCTCAGTTCTGCCACACATGCAACATGGACTCAGATCCAGATCCTCTACACGTGCAACATGACACATGTATGCACACCTTCATGCATGTACACACACACAAAGTGAGAGAGAGAGAGAGAGAGAGAGAGAACACAAAAATTAAAAAAAAAAAAAAAAAACAACCAACAAACCAAGGCTGGAGAGATGGCTTAGTAATTAAGAGCAATGGCTTTAGTGACTTGGGTTCTACTTCCAATACAACAGAGGATCTGATGTGCTTTTTGGGCTTTCTCAGGCATCAGGTACGCATATGATGCTCATGAAAATAAATAGATTTTCTTTTGTCTTTTGTTTGTTTGTTTTTGTTTTTGTCTTTCAAGATAAAACAGGGTTTCTTTGTGTAACAGTCCTGGCTATTCTGGAACTCACTTTGTAGATCAGGCTGGTCTTGAACTCACAGAGATCTACCTGCCTCTGCCTCCCAAGTTCTGGGATCACAGGCATGTACCACCACTGACTGCCCAGTGAAAATAAATACATTTTTAAAAGAAAGAAAGAGGAAGCAAACCCAACCAGCTTCATAGAGAGTTTGAGGTCAGCCTGGGCAGGAGATCCTGTTTCAAAAACAAACAAACAAACAAAAACCCCAAAAAACAAAATATCCACAACACAACTAAAAGGCCTGAACTCAAAGGACATTAAGTAAGACTAGCAGAGTTTAAAGGATAATCTTCTAGGCTGCCATTTCCAGAATTCATGACACAAATCTCCTGGTTTGGACAACTGATGGACTTCTCAATAGGAAATGGTACTAAGACATGCAAAGACACTTAATTAGTCCATCTTTCCATCAATCTACACATTCCTTTAGCAAACACTAATGAGCCCTTATGATCTAGGCTATACTATTATAATTATAATAATAATAATTATTATTATATTATTATTATTTGAGACAGGGTTTCTCTGTGTAACAGTCCTAGCTGTATTGGAACTTGATCTGTAGACCAGCCTGGCGTTAAATTTAGAGATTTGCCTGCTTCTTCCTCCTACATGTTGGGAACAAAGGCGTGCACCACCATCCAGCAAAACCAGCTTTATTCTAAGTGTTGGAATTATCAGCATAAACATGAGAGTCCTGGTCCTGCTATGCAGTAGATGTTTATTTATTTATTTGTTTGTTTATTGAGACAGGGTTTCCCTGTGTTGTTTTGGAGCCTGTCCTGGCATTAGCTCTGTAAACCAGGCTGGCCTGGAACTCACAGCCATCTTCCTGCCTCTGCCTCCCTAGTGCTGGGATCAAAAGCATGCACCACCACCACCCAGCTGTTTATTTTTTATTGGAAGTACTGGAGATTAAGCCTGGGGTCTACACAATGCCAGGTAAGTGCTCTACTGGTGAGCTATATGTCTCCAGCACCTTTTTTTTTATTTACTTATTGTTATGTGTACAAATGTTTTGCCTGAATGTATGTCTGTGCACCATGTTCATGAAGTGACTGGGCATCAGATCTTCTGAGACTGGAGTTACACACAGTTGTGAGCTACCATGTGGGGGCTGGGAATTGAACCCAAGTCCTCTGAAGACTAGCCTGTGCTCATGGCTAAGCCATCTCTCCAGCCCTTGTTTTTGTGTTTTTGAAAAACAGATTTTCATGTAGCCCAGGTGTCTTTGAACTTGAATTTGCTATGTATCTAAGGCTGGTCTTCAACACTCAGCCTCATGAGTGCTGGGATTACAGGTATATACACTATGCTTAACAAAGAATTTCATTTTAGATTTATAAGTACAGAAAGTTGTTACATGTAAATGGATAGGAAATATATTCCATACAAATAGTTACCAAAAGGAAGCTGGAACAACTATTTTATTGCATAATATAGTAGGTTGAAGTTGCTGTGTGATAGTACATATCTCTCCCAGCACTAGGGAGGCAGAGAAAAGAGGATCATAAGTTTATGGTCAGCCTGAGCTATATAAGGTTCAAAAACAAAATAAAACATAATAAAAAACCTAGTAGAAGAGGTTTGCTTCATAGACAGAAAAGGAATGAAGAGAGTAGAAACAGGAATAAAAAGCAAGTTGGTCATTTCAAAGTTATTTTCCTTATAAAGTGCTTACAGGGAAACAACAGTTAGCCTCATGTTACCATTTTTGTGTTTGGGTTCAGGCAGATGGAACACTATTATGCCAATTGAAACCAGTCTGTTTGGGAAAGCTGGCTGCTACTTTTCTAATCCTGACTTCTTGGAAATTCAGATAAACAGTTTAATTTCAGCTTGGTGATGTGGAACTTTAGTATGACTGACTCCATTTTTATTTTTAGCCTAGTCTATTGGGACATAGTGTAGGAGCTTAACCCAGAAACAATGGATTTCTCTAATTTCTTCTTTGACATGGGTACAATTTGCTTTACATCTATCATGCTGCTATTTCTCAGTAACTCACTCAATTAAAAAATATATTATTTAGGTCGGGCAGTGGTGGCACACTTCTTTAATCCCAGCACTTGGGAGGCAGAGGCAGGTGGACCTCAGTGAGTTTGGGGCCAGCCTGGTCTACAAATCGATTTCCAGGACAGCCAGGACTGCTACACACACACACACACACACACACACACACACGTATTTAAACTTTAAAAAGTTTTGGGCATAATTGTATATATGTTGTGTTTGGTACAATGTACCTGTATGTGTGGATGCACATGCTTATGCTCCAACGTTTGGAGGTCAGAGGAGGACTTGGGTATCTTTCTCTACACCTATCTGCCTTATCCTTTGATACAGTTTCTCACTGAACCAGAGACTCTCTGTTTTGGCTAGGCTGGCCAGCCACTGAGCTCCCAGAATCCACTTGTCTCCACATTTCTAAATACTGGGGTTACAGGTATGTACAGTCATGCTCAGGATTTGGTTTTGGTTTTTTGAGACAGGGTTTCTCTGTGCCTTTGGAGTCTGTCCTGGAACTAGCTCTTGTAGACCAGACTGGATTAGAACTCACAGAGATCAGCCTGCCTCTGCCTCCTGAGTGCTGGGATTAAAGGCATGTGACACTACTGTGCAGTGTTTTGTTGTTTGTTTGTTTGTTTGTTTGTTTTTTTAAACATGAATTCTGGGGATTCAAACTCAGGTCCTCAAGCTTGCAGAGCAAATGCTTTTACTCACTGAATCATTTCCCAGGATCCCTAGCCCCTTTATAAGGCAGGATCTTAGGTAGCTGAGGTCACCCTAGAATTTGCTTGAATTCTTGATCCTCCTGCCTCCACATCCTAACTGCTGGGATTATAGGCTTATATTGACAAAAATTTCCACCTTAAAAAAAAATGGCTGGTCTCGAACTCAAAGAGATCTGCCTGCCTCTGTCTCCCCAGTGCTGGGATTAAAGGCATGCGCCATCACCGCCCGTCTTACATAGTCTTTTTTAAAGAGTTACCTTTTTTTACTTTTATTTTGGGACAGGATTACAGGAGTTTTCTGAATAATACTGGCTGTCCTGGAACTCAGAGATCTACCTACCTTTGCCTTCCTAGTGCTGGGATTAAAGATGTGCCCCACTATCCTCGGCTGGTTGGGCTTTGTTCGTTTGTTTTGTTGTTGTTGTTTTGTTTTTTGAGACAGACTTTCTCTATGTAGTCTTGGCTGTCCTTGAAAGTCGCTCTGTAGACCAAGCTGGCCTCGAACTCACTGAGATCTACTTGCCTCTGTCTCACTAGTGCTGGGACTAAAGGCGTGTGCCACCACTGCTTAGCTGGTTCTACCTTTTTAAAAGATTCATTTATTTTTATTTTTTGTGTGTACTGGTGTTTTGCGTGCATGTTATTTCTGGGTACCCATGTCTTCAGTGTCCTTGAAGACCAGGAGGGGGCATTGGATCCTCTGGAACCAAAGTTACAGAAGGCTTTCATTGGCCATGTAGGTGCTAGGACAAACCCAGGTCCTCTGGAAGAGAAACCAGTGTTAACCCCTAAAACATCTCTTCAGCCCCTACAATGTTTTTTAAGATAGGGTCTCTTTTAATCTTTGGGTAGCCTTGAACTAGTATTGCTGAAGAAGACTTTAAACTGAAGAGGACATTAAACTTCTTATCCTCCTTCCTCCGACTCCAGAATAGCTGGGGTTACAGGCCTCAGGAAACATCCCTAGTTTTACGGAGTACTGAGGAATCAATCCAGGGTTTTCCATATGCTAGGAAAGCACTCTGCCAATTGAGCTCTTTTTAAAAATTTATTGCCTGTTTTTGCATTAATGTCAGGGCTAAGCTCATTTGTGTTCACGGCTTTACACACCCTAATCGACTACCGCCCTAACAAAGTAGCAGAATCTAAAAAAGGTTTAAGCCGGCCTAAAGCATTCTGGATCTTTTGAATAAAGAATGGCTCGACGGTTGCCGGGAGCGGCCAAGGAGCGGCTCTCAGGCACGTGGTGATTGGTTGAAGAAGAACTTCCGCAGGCACTTCCGACTTTAGACCCGCCCTAGGCATTGGTGATTGGCTAGCTTGTGCAAGCGCCAGGTCGCCTGGGAGTTGTAGTTCTTTTGGTTCGATAGGCGACGCCTGTAAAGGCTATTAGTTGTAGACTGTTAGCGGTGATTGCGCTTGATCCCTGCCGCCGGCATCATGTCTCGTGTGTTGGTGCCCTGTCATGTGAAAAGCACCGTAGCCCTGCAAGTGGGCGACATGAGGACCTCCCAAGGTCGGCCTGGCGTGCTCGTCGTCGATGTCACCTTTCCCAACGTCGCGCCTTTCGAGGTGAGCGACCCCCAGTAGGCACGACCAAAGCTTCTGGACGGGGAAGACCTCTAACCATTTCCCAGGCATTTACTCGTTTACAGCCTCTGCAATTCCCGTTGCTTTTGCTAATTGGCTGTATTCAATAGCATACACAGTTTTTATTAGACTGGAAACACAGTTATGAACCTCAGTACAAGTGAGAGGGTATGTTGGCCATAGTTGGGATCCTTAAATAATGATGTAAACTCCCTCATTCCAATGGCCCCTGCCACAGGTCAGGTATAATTAATCCTTCTAGGTCTTTCTAGTGACTCTCTCTCTCTCTCTCTCTCTCTCTCTCTCTCTTTCTCTCTCTCTGTCTGTCTGTCTGTCTCTTCCTTTCTTTTCCCTAGTGACTTGTTTATAATCCATAGTTGCATCTTCCATCTCAGCTGACAGTAACAGGGCATTGCATGACCTCAACACAGGACAAAGCTTACCTCTAATGGAATAAATAGAATAAATAGCATTCTGAGCTACCCTGTGACTGTGCCCATTCTCTTGACCTTATGTGCTTTGTGTTATAATATGCGGTTATCTCCCAAGATGTTTCTTATCACTGGATGGGGAAATCTAATTAATCTGACCCTGGAAAATCTGAGTCAATGTGTTTGAGGTGGCTCTTTGACATCTATATTATTATTATTATTTTTTAAAATGTTTGCTTTAATTTTATGTGTTTTGTCTGCATGTATGCTTGTATACTTTGTGCATACCTGGTGCTGATGGAGGCCAGAAGAGGGATGTGAATCCCTTGGAATTGGAGTTATGAAGAGCTGTAAGGGGCCATGTAGGTTCTGGGAACCAAACCTGGCTCTGCAAGAGCACCAAGTGCTTGCTCTTAACTGATGAGCAATCTCTACAGCCCTGATAGCTGCATTTTTTTTTCTTTTTAAGTTCCCTAGATGATTCTGATGGGCGTCTAATGATGAGAACTACTGCTCTAGCAGTTGATACTGTAGGTCTGCCCAGCCCATTGCCTCCCCCATCCCCCTGCAGTATACTCAACAAACTATCCTCCTATTCTTTTTCTGGTCTTAGTCTGCTAATTCCTTCTTAGTTAAGAGAGACCTAGAGACAAAGACAAAGACAAAGACAGAGAACCTGAGAACCTCTGCTATTACCAGATTGAGCTACAATTCTTTCCCATGCTAGATTCTCAGGTTCTCACTCTGGTACTTTTAAAAATATGCTACCTTTTTGTGTGTGTGTGTTTGGGGTATCTCGTGAACCCCAGAGTGGTCAAGAACAGCTGAGGCTTATCAGGAACTTCTATCTCTACCTTCCAAGCACTAGGATTACAGGTATACATCGCTTACCTGGCTTATGCAGGTCTGTGCCTCCAGCATAGAACTTCAAACATAGTAGACAAGGCCAGCACTGAACCAGCTGAGCAAATCATCAGCCCAACACACTTACTGTGTTACCTACCTTTGTTATGTATTTAGGAAGCTCTTCCTTTCATGCTTCACATGTCCATTTTCTGCTTTCTTCAGGGTTAGGGTTCTGACCTCTGATAATGTCTCAGATATGTTGCATGGTTTGTTTGCATGACTTATTGGGCTGTGAGCATTTTTAGGGAAGCAAAATTATGTTTGGGCCCCAGGAATTGTTGACTTGCTTACAAAAGTGTTTATTCCAAAAGAAAGATTATGTCACTGTGCCTGGGCCTCGTTTCTTATGGTGGGGCTGGGTGTATTCTAGTTACAGGAGATCACATTTAAGAATTACTACACAGCTTTCTTGAGCATCCGTGTCCGTCACCATACTACACTGCACACACCATCCAAGTGGGTAACTTGTCTTCGGGACTACTGTTTGATGCCTGACCCACACAGTGAAGAGGGAGCCCAGGAGTATGTTTCACTGTTCAAGCACCAGGTCAGCTGGGTCTCAGCATCACTAGGGAATACTAGATGAGGACTTCCTGCCTAGGGATTGGGCGGAATAGCTGGAGGGAAGAGTGGGGCAAAACTTGGCTGGGTTGTGGCTTTCATGAAAGTACTTGGGAGGGACCACTGCTCTGTCCTTCCGGAAGCCTTGGGGAAGCATTTGGTTTACTATTGGTGGGAGGTTCCTGGTAATGAGCTAAGTCTTCAGTGGGTCTTTTTGTGTTTTGTTTTGTTTTGTTTTTTTTTTTTATTGTTGTTTTTCAAGACAGGGTTTCTCTGTGTAGCTTTGGAGCCTCTCCTGGCACTCACTCTATAGTGAGGCCAGGCTGGCCTCATGGAGATCCCTCCCAAATTGCTAGAATTAAAGGTGTGCACTACCACTGCTTGGTGACAGGGTTACTCTTACTGCCCTGGCTGTCCTGGGACTCACTCCGTAGACCAGACCTCAAACTCAGAGACCCACCTGCCTCTGCCTCTCAAGTGGTGGGATTAAAAGCTTTGCGACGCTGACACTATCACCTGGTTATTTTTGTTTTCTTCTGTTTGAGACAGGGTCTGTCTGTGTAGCCCTGGCTCTCCTGGAACTTGTTTTGTAGACTGGGCTGGCCTTGAACTCAGAAAAAGGAACTCCTGCCTCTGTCACCCAAATGCTGAGATCAAAGACATGTACCAGCACACCCTGCTCACTTGGTCATTTTGTATGTGTGTCAGATGCTGTGTGACATGACCAGAGTACTAGAGCTGCGGCTGATTCTTCGGCAGCCGTCACCACTGTGGCTGTCTTTCACAGTGGAGGAACTACAGATCTACCAGCAGGGACCAAAGGTAAGGGTCTATCTGAAACCTACTGGCTAGCCCTTTACTTAAAAAGCTAAATAGCTCGGAGAGATGAGACATTGGGGTGGGTGGTAGGTGAAGATGGTAAGAATCAGAGGGAAGCCTTCATGATCTTGGAAGAACGTGAATGCAGAATTTCCTAATGTAAGATGAGGTTCTGTCCCAGCACCCCCTGACCTTCGAGATCACCCACCACTTTTAGATGCTGGGATATCCTTTTGTTGCTTATGTTCCTGGATTCTCCTGCACAGCAGAGCATCTTAGTAATCTGAGCAGGGTTTCCCTCAAGGGAAACCTTGTCTCAGCCTCAAGGGGCCTTTTCTCTGCTCTTAGATTCTGCCCCACTTAGGACAGTGTGCCTTTGCTTTGCAGAGCCCCTCCCTGACTTTCCCCAAGTGGCTTTCCCACCCAGTGTCCAATGAGCAGCCTGCTCCCCGCCTTGAGGTAAGCGCTCTAATCCTGGCTGTAGGCTTCTGCTATCCTGAGGCCAGCTGGGGATGTAATTCAGTGGTAGAATACTTACCTAGCATGCATAAGGTCCTGGGTTTGATTCCCAACACCATAAAAGTTTGAGACTGGACCCAGGGCCCATGGTTCAGTGTCTTCTTGGGTATTCTGTGGGATTTGAGTCATCCCTGGTATAGGCATGGATGGCTTCCTGAAGGACCGTCGGCCCCAATCAGACATTCTACAAGTTGTCTGGGGATGGTACTGGTTTCAGCTGGAGTACCCATTGTCTAAGGGCACTGATGGGGAAAGATTCATGATCACTTTTCCTTTCTTCTGGACCAGGGTCTCCCAGACCCCAGCAGAGTATCTTCCGAGGTGCAGCAGATGTGGGCGCTGACAGAGATGATTCGGGCTAGTCATACTTCCACAAGGATTGGCCGCTTTGATGTGAGTGATTGCTTCCTTCTGCTTGGTTTACCTTGCTTTGAGCAGCTCAGAACTGATAGTCCCTTGTATTGCAGGTGGATGGATGCTATGATCTGAATTTGCTCTCCTACACGTGAGCGGCAGCTTCTACTTGAGACATTGGCCTTCCGTGCCCATCCAGGCGTGGTTTGGCCACCAGAGGCTGAAGTGTGTTCCCTGTGCATCCAAGTTCTATCTGGGCCAAAGGAATTCTTGACATCCACCTAGTTGTTTTAGCATGGATTCTTAGTGGGACACTTTCTGTCTTTATCTGTCTGACATGCAAATTCAGTCTCTTCCTCTCAAAATTCACAGGTTCTACTTAGAATCATTGAGTTCCTCCTGCCTGTCCTGCCAGTCTGCACACCCCTGTCTTCTACTATTTCCCCCCCATTGTTGAGATAAACCTGTTCCAGGTAGTTCAGGAAAGCCTGCTGTTTTGACATTCATGACCTGGGAAGGTTGAGGGAGAGATGCCCCCTATTCTTTCCTCTGCTTCTGCTAGTGGCCTTTTTCCTTTTGTATTATATCCATGGTTTACAAGGCTACAGTAAGACCCGGTCTTTGGGGGTTGGAGGAAGAAAAGAAAAAGAAAACGCCCTTCTTTAAATTTGTCTGTTACCAGCCTAGGGGGCAAAGCTGGGATTTGGAGAGCTTGAGTGCTTGAGTCTGAACTGGTTCCTGAAATGGTTTCTCTGTCAGATCTGGGCAGGTGCTTTGGGCACAGCTGGGACCTGAGAATGAGACCTCCAATCTGTTTGTCATCAGATTCCACATGAAGCACATCAAGGACCCTTCTCCCAGTTGCTTCTTACCAGTCATTTTCAGGATGATGAAAGATCAACCTTGGGGGTAGTGTGTCCAAGTGAAGGTTTCACTGATGCCTTTGGGAGGCTGAGACCCTCTTTACCCCCGAGCAACCACTAGATGATGAAGGCTGCTTCAGTTTCCTTCTAGTTCTTCCTGATGTTGTCCTTGGGCACTATTATAAAGTGGTGCTGCAAGGTGTCCTGGACCTGGAAAATTGAGCATTTGTATGTGTAACAGTTTTTTGGAGAAAGTCTAGCCACCTTCGGTAGCTACCCTGTATTTTTGCCAATCGGCCGGCCTTCTGAAGGAAGTGTCTTCACTTGCAAGACCATTGTTTAAGCCCATTCAATGATCACCATAGTCCTATGCTCAAGGAACAATGGTCTTCAGTATGCATGAGCAAGAGGATTCTGGGGTGGCAGGGATCATGCATAATTCATAGCTGTGTTCCTAAGCTCCAGCACTGGAGCTGGTGTGCAGCAAGATAAATAAATACTTGTGGAATATGTGACTGTGTTTGCTGCTTGTGTGTGCCCAGTGCGAGAGCTAGAGACCATTATAAGAGGCCAGGCCACAGTGGTACTGTGCCTGCCTGGAGGGTTTCACCCTCTAGTGAATGATCCACCTCCCACGGCTATTTGACCTGAATGTGCAATTCCGGCTTTTCAGCCACTTGGAGAACTTTGACCTTCTGGAGGCAGGGAGTTCTAGCCCCCAATTCTAGTTCTAGGCAGCCTATTCTGCTCCAAACTGCCTGACTTGCTTTTATTAGATAGAGGAACTGCCTGAGGCCATCAGGAATCAGCACTCTGTTTGAATTCCCAGCCTGCCCTAGGGGCTCCCCACCCCCCTTTCTATCCCTTTCAGGCTAGAAAGACCTGTCCAAGCAGGGGTTTGGACTACATCTCCCAGCGTGCCTGGCAGAGTAGTGGCCTCTGTGTGCCGGGCTGCACTAGTTGCGGGTGACAATGCAGCGGACAGTGAGCGTGGTGGCCCCTCTGTGTTTTCGCCTGCAGGCACAACTCTTGGTTCAAAGCCGACAACTCAGTTGTGTACAGGTGGGGTGAAGGGCACTGGGGTCTGCTACTGGAGGGTGGGGGAGGAAGCTGATGGGATTGGACCCTGGTGGCTGTAAGCCTGGCTGTCCGCAGGATGTGCTCCACAGGACTCCACTCTACGACTTCCACCTGGCCCATGGAGGAAAGATGGTGGCGTTTGCAGGGTGGAGTCTGCCTGTGCAATACCGGGACAGTCATGTTGATTCACACCTGCATACACGCCGGCACTGCTCTCTCTTTGATGTGTCCCACATGCTACAGGTGAGCCACAGGCAGGATCTGGCCTTCCTTTCTATCTGCAGTATCTTCAGCGTTGTGGGAGGGTATCTTAGACCACAGAGTTAGGAACTCACCTGGAAGTCTTCTATTGTTTGTCTCTCATCTCTCCTGTCTGCTCCCACTGTGTGTTTTAATGCCCTTGGGTTTGATTGAGCTGTACCTACCCTCACCTGCTGTGCTGGGCATTGGTTTGGAAATTGGTTGGGTATCTTAGTAAGGTGCTCAGTCCCAGGAGGCTGGGAGGGATAGGGGAAATGAGAAGGTAGGACCTCTGCCATCTCCAGAACCCAAAGACCGTAGTCAGTCACTTCTGGGCTCAACTGTGGTTTGGACAATTAAAGGATGCTTTCTTGCCTAGCAGCCTTTTAGATTACAGATATTGCAGTGGCCTGAGGCTTTCCATGTTTTCCCTAGACCAAGATATTTGGTTGTGACCGAGTGAAGCTGATGGAAAGTCTAGTGGTTGGAGACATTGCAGAACTAAAGCCTAACCAGGTAGGCCCATTTTATTTTTCTCAATGTTAAGTCCTTGCCTTAAGGCACCAAGATAGGTCAGATAATAGCTTCTCAAGGCTTGCTATCTTGATGGAGTCTTTGGGTCATTTCCAGGTATCCAGCCAGCTTTGGAGAAGCACTGTCCCAGCCTTACTACATTGGGTTGGGAGGCCAGAAACCAGTTTTTATGATCTGACCTCTCAAGCTTCCCATACCTTTGGTATACATAGTGTGATCCCTAAGCCAGCAGCCTCTCCATTTTCTAGGAATGTGTTAGGAATATGCTTAGGTACTGCTCTGGACCTGCTGAGCCAGGACCCTAGGTGGTTCACGTGACCCATCAATCTCATGGTTTGGACACCCAGTTGCAAGGCTAAGGACTCCCTCACAGTGTTTTGAACTCATTGCTGAAGAATGTGCTGGGAGCCTGTGGGATCATGAAGATGGTCTTTGAAACCTTTATCCTAGAAGTTGGCACATGGGTGGAGTTATCTGGGTGGGGTGAAGCTCCTAGGTGTGATAGAATAAATATGAAATGGGTTTCTAAGAATTGAGTAGTGAGGGAGCCAACTGAGTCTGGGGAGGGGTAAAAATTTACTTGACCAATGAAGTTCAAAGGCCCTAGATTCGAGCCTTATCTTGCACCCTTTACCCAGAGCTGTATCCATGAATTTTTGGTAGCTAAGCAGTTCTCAGAATGTTTCTGGCTCACACTTGGCTTTGGCTTCCTGAACTTGGAGATAAGGATGTTCTGCTTCAATGCTAGGGAATACTGTCACTGTTTACTAATGAAGCTGGAGGCATCTTAGATGACTTGATTGTGACCAATACTTCTGAGGGGCACCTGTATGTAGTGTCCAACGCTGGCTGCTGGGACAAGGACTTGGCTCTCATGCAGGTACATCTGCCTTTTATTTTAGGTACTTTTTCTTGGTTTATGAAGTACCCAGTGCAGATAGGGGCTCAGGAAATGACTCTTAATAAAAGGATGGCCAATAGAGTGAAGAGAAGGAACTCTCTGGTGCACAACAGGGTTTGGGGATGGGGACTAGAGGAGGTGGGGAGATAATGCTGCCCCTGCCCTTGAAATGAGCATCCTCTGGTAAGAGTGAGTGAGGTGACAGACTTGGGCTCAGGCCATCCTTACCACTTAGCAGCTGTGTGACTTGTAAGATGGGAACCAGCCTGCTTTCTTAACTGCTCGATTCTGCATTGTCCAACCCATAGTACATGCTCAGTAATGGTTTCAGACATTGATGTGTTTCTGTTATCCTTTTCAGGACAAGGTCAAGGAGTTCCAGAGCAGGGGCAGTGATGTAGGCCTGGAGGTGGTAGATAATGCCCTGCTAGCTCTGCAAGGTGAGAGTGCCAGGTTAGGGCTAGAGCCAGCCTTGCCTTCCTGGCTTTATTTGCCTCTCTGCATGGAAGCTATCCCAAGAGGAAGGTATGGATGCTTTGACATCTGTATGCCATAATTCCAAAGTTAAGTATCTTTTCCCTCTGCAAAGCTGTCCATGGGCTAGGGACAAGGGCATCCTCTCCCCTCTGGCAGAGTTGGGCTTGCTTGGGACTGTTTTGCTTCCAAGAGGTGTTGGTCCCAAAACCCTTGGTTATTCTCTTTGGGCTTAGGACCCACGGCAGTGCAAGTATTACAGGCAGGTGTGACAGATGATTTGAGGAAACTGCCCTTCATGACTAGTGCTGTGATGGACGTGTTTGGTGTGTCTGGCTGTCGTGTGACCCGCTGTGGCTACACAGGAGAAGATGGTGTGGAGGTATGTTGAGAAGTAGTTATTCCCATGGTGTCTCATACCTGTAACCCCAGTGCTTATGGAGACAGAAGTGGGAACATCTTAGTCCATGGTGGGTTGGGTTTCTATAGTGAGTTCCAGGCTAAGCAAGGCTACATAGTGAGAGCCTGTCTCAAAAAAAAGAAAATAAAGCCAAAACAAAACCCCAAAACAAAAAATACAGTTGTAAAGCTTGGCATGGGGTGGCACATGCCAATAATCCTAACACCTAGTAAGTAGAAACAGGAGAACCCCAAGTTACAGGCCAGCCTGGGCTACCTGTCTCAGAAAGAGGGATGGGAGTAGGGGAAAATATGCAGTGGTAGAGTGTTTCTCATTCCTGTACAACCAAAAGTGGTAAAGATCCAAGACTTGGGATAACTATCCATCTGCTCTCTGGTCCTTTGTGCAGATCTCGGTGCCAGCAGTAGGGGCAGTCCACCTGGCAACTGCTCTGCTGAAAAACCCAGAGGTGAAGTTGGCAGGACTAGCAACCAGAGATAGTCTGCGCTTGGAGGCAGGCCTCTGTCTGTATGGGAATGACATCGATGAACATACCACACCTGTGGAGGGCAGCCTCAGCTGGACACTGGGTGAGCTGGGCTAGTGTTCAAGGGGCCCTGAAGAGTAGAATACCTTTAACGAGAGTGGCTAGCCCAGAACTACTCCTAAGGTTGTAGACGCTGGAACACGTAACTCAGCCTTGCTGGGCTGTCACTCCCTGAGAGTGCTATTGTGGCTTTGCCTGTTATAAACCGAGGACCCTAAGTATGCCTTGCAGCGGGTAGGAGATGGTGGACTGACTGTAGTGCAGGGGACGACTGAGCCCAAGGCCCCAAGTGATGCTTGATGGATGTCACTTGGGGCCTTGGTAGTAAAGACTTGCTTTGTCAGGGCTTCTGAATAGCTTACGTCCCTTGTGTTCTGTACAGGGAAGCGCCGCCGAACCACCATGGACTTCCCAGGAGCCAAAATCATTGTTCCCCAGCTGAAGGGTGAGGTGCAGAAGAGGCGTGTGGGGTTGGTATGTGAAGGGGCACCAATGAGAGCACACAGTCCTGTCCTGAGCACAGAAGGCGCTGTGATTGGCACAGTGACCAGTGGCTGCCCTTCACCCAGCTTGAAGAAGAATGTGGCCATGGGTTATGTGCCATTCAAGTACAGTCGGCCAGGGACACAGCTGCTGGTGGAGGTTCGGCGGAAGCAGCAAATGGCAGTGGTTAGCAAAATGCCCTTCGTGCCCACAAACTACTACACTCTCAAGTGAAGATGGCCCATGGGAAAGCCCTTCCTTCCAGGAGTCTTGCCCTAGAAGGCCTTCCATAGTGCTTAATCAGAAAAGTGAAGTAGAACTCACAGAGGTTTGTTGTGGTCTGGTTAGGGTGGGCAGAGCATCTCATCTATTCTTCCCAGTTGAACTATCCTAACTTTAGGGTAGGGTTCTTTTTTTTTTTTTTTTTTTTTTTTTAAGACAGGGTTTTTCTGTTTTCTTTGGAGCCTGTCCTGTCCTGGACCGCGTTGTGTAGCCCAGGCTGGCCTCTAACTTAGCAGTCTGCCTTCCTCTGCCTCCCGAGTGTTGAAATTAAAGGCATTTGCCACCACTGTAGGGCTCAATTTTAAATGACAAATCACCTTACTTAATGTCCTATTTTAGTCCACATTCCCACTAACCTTATTCTGCCAGGAGCTGGCTACAGAAAAAAATGTCTGCCTTTGTGTGGATGATTACACCTGCCCGACCTACCTCACCATGGTTTTTCTAATTTTCAAAGGGCTATTACTGTGGGCAGTGTGAGCTTAGGCACCTTCTCCACTTTGCTTCCCACGAATGTATACTCTGCCTTTCCTTGGATAAAAATGACTCCTGACTCAGTGTTGGCTGAGTTGTTCCTGTGTGCAAATGTAGGGATGGTTAAGTAAACACACTCACCCTTCCACATTCCCTAGTCAACTTAGCCTGCTGTGCAGCAGCAAGACATGGCAAGTTTGGTACTTGGGCTTGCCTTAGCTCTTGTTGTGAATAACTGTACTTTACTAACTCTTTAAAAAAAAAAAAAATCCCTTCTGGGGCTGGAGAGCTGGCTCAGTACTGGCTTCTCTTCTAGAGAACCAGGGTTCAATTCCTAGTACCCACATGGCATGTCTGTAATCCAGCGCAAAGTGATTTGACACCCTCATATAGACATAAATGCAGGCAAAATACCAATGCATATGAAATAAAATAAATAAATCCGAAGAAAGTTTCCTTCCTTTTTTGCCATGGTCTCTAGCTTTATTGTTTTTTGTTCACTGGGGTGCCAACCCAATGCCTGTCTTGGCCTCCAACACAGGTTGGGAGTAGGCTCTCCTTGAAAGTGGCCAGATATACAGAAGTGATATGGTGGCATACCCATGTAATCCCAGCACTTATGAGTTGGAGAAAAAAGTGTTGGAAGTTCAGTGTCATCCTCAGTCATATGTTGAATTCAAGGCCAACCCTCCCACTCCCAAGAAAATTAATGGGGATATTGCCCCTGTTGAACAACCAACTGCCACTCTAGGGAGCTGGCATCAGTTCTCTACCCCTTCAAATTACTGTAATTTGGATCCTGAAGGCAACATACCCAGGATCCCTTACCAGTTGCCCCTGTGCACACACCCATGTCCTATTGGAATAACCACACAACGGATTCACTTCTGTGTTTAATATGTCACATCTTCAGTTGCTCCTGGGGTGGAATGTGAGACCTTGACTCTTTGTAGTGATGTCAGTGGGTGGATCTGAGGCTGTGGAGGACATCTTTCTGCCTTGCCATACAGATGCATCTCTGGAGTAGGTACTTGTGCATGAGGAGCTCAGTACAGTTTCATTTATAGTAAACCTGCTACAAAGTCTTTGTAGACAAAGGCTGCTAGAAGGCTATGTGACATGTAACAAAGAGACAGTGGGACACTTGAGGTAGCTAGTGGCCCAGCTGAGACAGGCAAAAATACAACCATTAGGGAAGGAGACAGATCCACGATGCTTTTTGGAACCTCTTCTGACAAAATATGAAGGGCCAGGGCTATCTGGCTTGTGGCTCACTCTTACTGATTGATATTCCTAGGGGCTGAAATGATACTAGCAGGCTCTTAGGTATGGCCCTTGTCTGATGGGAAGTGATAAGGCTGCAGGGCACAGTGAAGTCATTGCACTAACTGCTTTTAGTACCTCCCTAGGAGGGGGACAAGGTACAAACCAAAAAACCCCCCATTGGCACGTAAGGGACTCTTAATCCACTCTGTCTTGAAGGTACTCAACTTGCCCCCAAAGAACAGATAACTAGGTCAGTTGGGAAATGATAACTTCCTCTGCCTGCCTGGAAGACTAGCTGGGCCAAGGAAGTCCATGTTTGGTGCTCTGGTCCAGGCCAGGATTAGCTGGCTTCTGCCTATAAAGCAAAGCCAAGGAAATCAGGGCTTAGTGGAGAAGAGACTTCTCTTATAAATCTCAGAACTGCTTAATCTCAAGATTCCTCTTAGAGAACAAATTTCTAGAAGATCACATCCCAAGGAAATGAGGAGGACAGGAAAAGACAAGGTGGAAAAAGGACTGCTTGACCTCCCCAACCAAAATGCTTCTCAGCTCTGACCCTTGACAGAAGTCTTAGGGCAACTACACCAGGGTAGAGATAAACTTCACCTGCCCAGTACCTGGAGCTGTTGGAGGCAAGGCTGAAGGCCATGGAGGCTCACCCTGGAAACACTGTGGTACTCCAGTCCCCCAACCCCAAGCCCTCTGCCATTGTCCAAGGGGTCTGGGCAGCAGCAGGATGCAACACAGGAGCCAGCAGTCCCAGTGATGTCTCTGGAGACGCTTCTGCTGCTGCCTTCCCTTATTCTCTGTGGGTTTTGAGAGGTTCATTTGCTGCCATTTCCCTGGAAGTAATGAAGAAAGGTTACTTCATGAATAGCAGAATAATCTATCCATGAATACTTGCTATTAAGCAGGCAATTATAAAGGCAAATTAGATCAGGTCACTGTCTTGCTGAATCTGTCCTTCAATTGCTCCATGATTCCCTATGCTCTTGTGTTCAAAGTTCACCATTGCCTCTCCTGGTCCCCTAATATGTTACATTTGTCTGTTTTTATCCATTTTGTTTTTTCTTGTCTAGTATGTTGTGCTGACCTCTCTTTGGTCTCAGTCTAGGTGTCATGAGGGAGAGGGGTGCTTCCCCGAGTACCTTTGCATTTGTACTTATTTCCCTTCTAAATCTCTTGCTTCTCCGGTAGCAGAGTCTGGGTTGTCCTTGTTTTCTGGGCCTGCTGTGACCTCTGCCATCTGCTCAGAGATTGGCTGAATGAAATGTCTTCATAAGTAAGCTGGCTTTTTTTTTTTTTTTCCTTTCTTTCAGAGATTAGGAGGCTGACTTGATGAGGTAGTGTGCTAAGAATAGAGGCTGTTAGGCTGGGGGTTATAGCTCCAATGGTACAGTACTTGCCTAGAATAGATACTCTTGCTTTCCTAATGAAGGACTTCCCAACCAAGGGATTTGTTTCCAATAGACCTACCTACCACTTAACCTTTCTCAAATTATGGTAACACCACCATTCATCCCCACTGTATGCTGATAAGACAGAGGCTCTATAGGCAGTGGTAAATGCCCAGCTCAAATCCTGAGCTCTACCTGCAGAATTGGAGGATTCTTGCAAAGACCACTAAGCTGGTGCACTCACATCCTGAGAATTCTCTTCCCTGTCACCAGCACTCGAGTGTCCTCTGCCTGCCACGCATGGGATTTGGAAAGATAAGAGATTTACTCACCATGAAGGGAAATGTGTGGAGCCATCAGGTGTGGATCCATTCTGGCCACCCAGACCTGGAGGCAGGAACACACCCAGAGCTGCAGGAGGCTGAGGGTGGGGATCTGGGCAGGCATTAGCTCAGGTAAGGGGCCACTAGTATAGTTTAAGAGAGTGGGGCTGGGATGCTAGGGTCTAGTAGTATTGTCTGGTAAGGGTTTTTGAGAAACAGTTACAATGTGATGATACACAGGTGGGGATTCTGGTGTAAAATGGTATGGGGGTGTAAGTCTGGGTACAACAAGCCTTCTGGGGGACCAGTGGCAGTCTACGAGGACACAGGAGAAACAAGTGGTACTGCTTCGTGGTGGTAGGGGCAGCCAGGCCAAGGAGGTTCATAGGGAGCCTCACCTGGACGGTGATACAACCCGGTCACTGTGTTCCCGTAGAACCCCCACGCCAGCTGGATGCCCAGGAGACTTAACACCAACCACAGCAAGAGCAGCTTGAAGAGAGTCACTCGCATGTCTTGAGTCTCCCACTCCCGCAGGAACTCGCTGCCCAGGGTACCCAGCGCTCCGAGCACCGTAGCGGGCAGAGCTTGCAAAAACTGCCCAGGCCAAGGTTCCGCCATGACTGGCCAGCGCCCCGCCGGGTGTGCTGTCACCGTAGTTCTCACTGCGCAAGCGTATGGTCTTCCGGGGTTAGACCTGTAGGTGCGCACGCGTAATGTCGGGCAAAGAAGATCTACTTCGCTTGCGCGAAGTGTTGGCAGTTTGGGGCAGGGCTTTAAAACCGCGCAGGCGCACCCATCCCCACCCTGCTTACTTAAAGGATGAGTGATTCGGTGAGTATAAAATAGCAACTCAGTCTTTTATAGCTCCGGACTTCCCGTGATGCTCCACGCGGCTGCAATGATTGGTTAAGCCTCTTGCTTTTAGGGCGTGGTTCCGCTCTTGAGCAATCGTGGACCTACTGCGAGTGTGCGCGCGTGCGCGGGGCCGCGGCTAGCGCCAGCTCGAGCCCGCAGGGCGCTCGGGGGCGCGCACGTCGCTCCCCGCCCTCCCGCCACCGCCCGCCCTCGTTCGCTCGCGCTCCCCGCCCGCCGCCCGCGGTCCTCCGTCGGTTCTCTCCTTAGTCCGCCGTCTTCTGCCGAGCTGCCGGTCCTCGTCTCCCAGTTTGCGGACTCGCGGACAGGCGTCCTCAGCGCGAAGAGGCTGGACTCGGAGTCGTCGCCTTGAGGTGAGCAGGAGCATTCCCCCAAGCCGCCTCGGCTCCGGGCTCGCCCGGCCGGCACTTTTCCGGCCACCCGCCCGTCGCCTGGTCGCGGTCGCGCCCCACCTGCTGCTCTCGGCCCGCAGCCCCTGGCCCCGGCCCCTGACCCGGGGCCCCGCGCCCGAGGCGGCGGCCCCGCCCGCGCAGTCCCCGGAAGCGCGCCCCGCCGCCTCCAGTCCCCCTTCCCCCGCCCGGCCGGGCCTGGTGGAGCCCTAGCCGCCCGCCCTCCCCGTCGCTTCCTCTCAGGGCTGCGCCGGGCTGGGCGGGGGCTCCCGGCCGGCCCGCGACCGCGGGGTAGTCTGCTACTGTGAAGCGCGCGTGGCTGTCGGGAGTTGAAATAGGCAAGAAACTCTTTTACAACTCCATTTTGCCTTTTACATTTAATGGGGATCATTAATTACCGTTTTATACCGGTGAAGACAGTGAGGCTTTGGGTGGATTTTCTGTTTTCAATGCCGTATTCTCTCTTAGTGATTGTGTAAGTGAAAGATTGTTTTGAAATCTTAGCGGTAAAGACTGTATGGGGGAAGGTATTTTCCAGTTGAAAAAACATTTTAAAAATAATTTGGAGAGGTTGCATCAAAATAGATGCATTTCTATTTAAAGTTACTACTCTAATTAGGAATCATTTACTGATGGATTCCCTTTTCAGGTCATTTTCATGAATGCACTTTTTGCACCCACATGTTTTTGTTTTTTAATTTGTTTAGTAGCATAAAGTGGAGAATTGGCACCATTTTTTTATTGTCCCAGAATTGGTCCTACTTGTATTTTCTAATAGTCCTCACTAAGATCTTTAACCTCTGTTGGTTATATTCATATGATTCCTTCTGCCTTCTGACATTCTTTTGAAATAAGTGTTTTTTTCAATATATATATATTGAAATAAGTGTTTTTTTCAATATATATATATATATATATATATATATCCAGATTATATTCCTCTGGCAAACCTGGAGGGGTGGGAAACTCATACTTTAGAATGTTGTATGTGGTGAGAATTTTCAGCCATTTAGTGTCACGTGTCCAAGTGTGTATCTACTGTGTGGATGGTTTCTCACCTTCCACATGACTAGCTTGGTAGTGATACTTTTTGAAGCATTTCACACAAGTATCCTTGTTAACTAAAAATACAAGGCTAAGTCTTAACTATTGAAGGCTCTCAGAGCAGTTTGAGAGGATTTGTCTACTTATGTGGAGCAGTGCTATTTCTTATGGACATAAAATATATGGAGCTTGTTTTTCTTTTTCTTTTCTTTTATTTCCTCTTTGGTGCTTGAAATTAAGCTCAGGACTTGGGGCACAGTGAGCAGGTGCTATATATCTCTGAGCTTCATTCCAGCCCTATAACTAACTGAGTCAAAGTCCAGTGTTCAACTTACATACATCTCCTGGAGAATAGGAATATATCTAACTTGCCAACTTTCTCCCCCTATAGATGGAGCATTTTAGACTGGAAAAGATTTAATGGATTTATAGGCTAACTTCATTCAGGGACTTTTTTCAAGAGAGAGAAAGGTTTATTAGGACTCTGCAGAGAACAGTGTGCTGATAATGATAGGAGAGCCACTTGCCTACGACTTAAAAGAAATGGACACAGGGTCTGACCTGAGCCCTAGAACTTGCATTGTAGATCTAGCTGGCCTCCTGCTTCTGCCTTCTGAATAGTTCTGGGATCACTGGGTGTGTGCTACCATTCCTGGTGAGACTTAAAAATTTTGAAGGTCATATGTCTAGTTAGACTAGAACTGCTTTTTTCTGTGAAGTATTCTCCATGTACTCACCTAAAATCAAGGGTTCCTGTTACTCTCCTGTTCTTTATCTTGCAGATTGTGCATATTTGGGGAGAGTCTGGTCAATTCATTTACCAAACAAATTTCAAGTTTTTGTACATAGCCCTTTTCTGGCTTACCCTTGCCTTTGAGTTTGTTTTCTTGAGGACCCAGCCTCTGGGAGTTGACTGTTAGCAAAGACAACATAATGAGGTCCCCATAGAATGTTTTTAGGTGACTATAGCCCTTTTTACTCTTTTTTAACTGGAACTGGTGAGAATGCTCGTATCAAATAAGCAGTAGTCTGTGTAGTGTGCGAGAGTGGTTTTGTTGGAGTGTGTTCATAGTCCTTAGACTGTATTCATTGTTAACTCCCATTAAAAGTCCATTCTCGTCTACAGGGTTGTAAATTTTTAGAAGAGTAAAATGTCCAGGTGTTTCTCAGTCCATGGCGTGGAAAGGAAGTAGTAAGAAGAGAAGGAGGTTGAGGTTTAGGACTAGTCTTTTGACTGGTCCTAAAGATGGAAGAGATTGTTTAACCTTGTTGAAAGACTAATTTGAGATCAGTGGATGTCTATAGGCAGTACGTTTGGTTTGCATTGTAACTACTAGCAATGATGACATATTGTGCACAAATGCTGAATTTAAAAATCGGAAGTAGGTTAGGTGAGAAGCCTATAATTGAAGTACTCCAGGAGGTAGGATTGCTGATTTGATGCCAGCCTGAGCTACATAACAAAATCCTGTCTCCAAAAAAAAAAAAGGTTCCTATTAATGTTTATGTCTTCTCCTCTTTATTATTCTATCCAGTGGAACTCAGATGTTACACCAAAGCATTAGTAATAACTGTTACTTACCTATTTTTATGGTAATGAACCCAACTTTGATGCAAGGCAAGCATTCTACTGATTAGCTATACTACTTTTCAGCCTGAGGCTTGAACCCAGCCCATTACATATATATACTTGGAAAGGGCTCTGCTACTGAAGTATATCCCCGACCCTGATTTTACTTTTGTTTTGAGATAATCACATTACACTGTCAGCGTATAACCATGAACTCATGTGCAGCCTAGGCTAGTCTAGACCTTTTAACCTTCCTCAATCTCCCCAGTAACTGGGATTACAGGCCTATGCCATCAGGCCCAAGTGTAACTATATTTTATGAGACAGTTTCCCTCTAGGTGATGCTGGCCTGGAAACTCACTATGTAGCCCAGGCTGGCCTAGCAGTTCTTCCTTAGCTTAGCCCTCCTAAGTGCTGGGGTTGCAGGTGTGAGCTCTTATAACATGGAGGCATATAGGTGTGTGTTGATGACATTAGATATTTGTTACAATAAGTTTCAAAAGTTGCTTGAAGTTAGTAATTATTGTAAAATCCCTACCCATTGCCCAACAGGGTTTCTCTGTGTAACCCTGGCCATCTTGGAACCTGCTCTGTAGACCAGACTAGCCTCAAGTCAGAGCTCCTACTGCCTCTGCCTCCCGAGTGCTGGGATTAAAGGCTTTTGCACCACCACCCTACTCCAGCTGTAAAGTCTGGAGTATTTCAAATGACTTCTTGTTTGATTTTGAGTATTTTTATGTAGCTCTGCCTGGCTTGGCACTCTGTAGTCCAAGGCTGGCCTCACAGTTGAAGCAGTCTCCCTAGTGTAGGGATTACAGCTGTAAACCACCATTCCTGACCTTTTAACCTATGGTGCTGCATTATTTTAAGGGAAGGTTTGTATATTCTTAATTATGCAAACTATGTGAGTGAAAATAAAGTAGGCAATAAAAGTGCTTAATCTGGGTGTTGGCTTCAGCTTATTGCTATTTGCTTCGAATGATTCTGGATGTATTTACTTTTCTTTTGACTGTGCCCTGTTATACTAAGTGATCAAAGTATGAGATACAGGATTATTAAATTGTTACTAATATGCAGTTTATGCTAAACTGAACTTTATTTGGGGAGAGAGCTTGGGGTATATTTTGAGAAGGGATCTTGCTAATAAAGCTAGGTTGGGCTTAAAATCGTGTCAGTACTTTGCTTACACCTCCCAAGTACTGGTAATTTCTAGCATCTGCCACCACAATTTCTTTTCCCCTATTGGGGAAGATAGAATAAATATTAATTCAGGCTTATTTATGATAGTATCCTAAATTCAAGTGAGGGTAAGAGGAGAACAAGCAGCTAATGAAATAGTGGGAGGTAAAATGAGTTTAGAGAGATGGGCAGTGGCCCGATCCTGTACTATCTTTAGGATATAAGAAAGGCTTTGAGTTTGTTGTTTTTGTTTATTAAATTCTTTTGTGTTATTGTTTGTTTTTGTCTTTTTGAGACAGAGTTTCTGTTTAACAGCTATGGCTGTCCTGGACGTAGCTCTGTAGACCAGGCTGGCCTTGAACTCACAGAGATCTACCTGCCTCTATATCCCAAGTGCTGGGATTAAAGGTGAGCAAGACCATGTCTGGCTCCCTGCAGCTGAATTTTATAGAAGCATTTTCTCAATCCAGGTTTCCTCCTGATGACTGTAGATTGTGTCAAGTTGGCATCAAACTAGCTAGCACAGGGCACTTGTAAAGAACTTGCTTGTTATGCATGAGGCCCTAA